AATTGTGCAAAAATCACTTTTTCTTTAAAAATTCATAACTTTAAAAAGAAAACCGAACTCGTTGTGGATGGACTTGATCCGTAGTTGCGTTACCTTTCGAGCACTCGTTTCCTTTTGCCCTATACCTGTGATGGGCCGTTCTTCTTTGCTGCAAGCCAAATTGAGTCTATTCGTCAAACTTGTTGTCACTATATTTGTCTGCGATCCGGGATCTAGTAACGCACGACAGACTTGCACGTTGCCCTTCGAATCGTATGCATGTACTCTAATTGTCGACAAGATCACTAGAGTTTCTGTCCTTTGCGTGTAGTAAACACTTAAGGACGGTTCCTCTGACTTTTCGCTCACTAAAGTCTGCGTTTCCAATTCGCTTTGCATGCTCGTTCCTTGGGTAAGGCACGTTACGACCGGCGTCTCCTTTTCACTGCTCTCACTTGTTTGCGGCTCAGATTCTCTATGAAGCAGCGTGTTGTGGCAATTGTCGCACTTCTTGCACGTCGCTGATCGGCAGTCCTTTGCGTAATGCCCGGGATTTAGGCAATTTATGCAGAGTCGTTTGTCTCGTATTGTCTTCATTTTGTCAGGAGTTGATTGCTTTAACAATTCTTCGCATTTGTATATCGGATGTCCTCCTTTGCAGATCTTGCATCTTGCTGTTGTCGTCGTGAGTGAGACTTTCTTCTCGCTCTTCTTTTGTGTCGCTGGCTTCTCACTGGACGTTTGCTTTCCCTTATTCTGATTCAAAACTCTCAACGTGTGACATCGCTCCGTCAAGAATTTCAGAAACTCTTCTATCTTCGGCATGTTTCTTGGCGTTCTGTTCTTAGTCACATTCTGCCAGTCACGCTGTTCAGGAAAATCCAATTTCTTCTTTGCCAGATGAATTATCATCGTGTCCCATTCATCTACTGGCTGCTCTAGCGCCTGCAGTGATGTCATGTGCGTATGAATATGCCATATAAATTGTCGAATTGAGTCAGCCTTATTTTCCTTTGCAATATTTAGAAATTGTAACAGGGCATCAAGATGAGTCTCGATAATTAACATCTGATTATTGTACGTATTCTTCAGGAGTGTCTAGGCATTCTCGTAGTTCTCGTCCGATATATTAAATCCCTGAATTACTTGAAGAGCTTCACCTTTTAGAACACCGACCAAATATTGGTGTTTTTGCATCGGCGATAGGTCGATATCGCGATGTATTGTCGTTTAAAAACTGTTCTTAAAAAACATCCATTTTGTATAATCGCCGCTGAACTCTGGCAATTTAATTTCAGGCAACTTCGGCTTATTCCGTCGCTGTCCTTCGTCTCTTGGCTCTTGTACGTGATGCTGATTAGCTGCTTGCTGTGCTGCGACTTGCTGTGCAGCTGCTTCCGTATTTATTATTTTCCGCGCTTCCGCTGCAGCCTTGTAGTAACTGCTTTCGAAGATCTCTCGTTCCGCTTCGCCTTCGACCTGTCTCGCCTCCGCTTGTTCGTCCGTTTCTGCTGGCCGAGCGTCTATTTCGTCTTGTATTTGCTCAAATTTGTTCCATAACTCTTCGAGCTTTTGTAATCGCACTTGTGCTTCTGCTGCGCTTTTTACGTCCTCCGTGTCGAAATATAACTTTATTCTGGTGACTTGCCCCTTTATCTGGGCCCTTTTTTGCTTTAGCGTTCTCATTTCCGACATTTTGGAAAGAATCTGGAATGCACGTGAGTTAGAACGGTATTATAGACCGATTTACTCACCTTCTCGATTTCGATGCTTCACGTCTCGTTAACCGCCACGTTAAGGTTATGTTGCGGTATCGCTTCGTATCTGTCGTCACTACGCGTGCGAAATCCCTTGGTCCGCCAATTGCTGTGTATCGTAATGCATCCGCGTGAGTCTGCCTCGACGCGTACAATCTCGTACGTGGTTGCGACGCCTTGTTTCACGCGTCTCATATGCCTGTATGCGCCTGCCTCAAGCGCGTTTCGTATCCTCCTCACTTTTCCTCGATCTCAATCGTGTATTCAATAGCCGTACCGTTGGGCGCCAAATGTTTTTTGGTTGTAATTAAATGCTCACAATGAATGTTGATCTATAATTCTCTTTATTGCACAGACTTCGCGCGCTTTTGTTACATTGCTCTTCCGCCATTATTACTGTTCTGTCTTCTCCTCTATACTCTAGCCTCGACTCCCTACACTCTAGCCTCGACTTCCTACACTCTGCGCAAATCGAACAAACTCTCGCGAACACAGGCATTATTAACTAATAAAAGAAGAAACTTAGAAAAATAACAACTTACCACGCCAAGAACATTTCCTTCTTTGTCGTAAATTTCATGTTTCCACAAAATGTCAGTTTTTAAAAAGTGATGATGGCATACAGCTTGTGTCGAATTTATATTTATATCAGTTCTTTTTAAAGCTGTTTGCCATGCTTTTTTCACATTTTCGTCTTTTGGCACATAAAAAAATGTACTTTTTCAGGATTTGAAGTATAACCTGACGTACAGCCAAGTGCAAGACAGCGCGGCATTGTTTAATTAAAATAAACAAATGCGGTTAGTTGCATCAGCAACTCTCAAAATTCTTCTTTCGCGACAAAACACGTTCGGTAACAGCGGGAACAGTGAGCGAATTAACCTAACCTTTACCATTGACCCGTGATGACTGTTGCCAGCGCCACACAGCGGGCTTGGCGTCACTAAGTAGACACAGTAAAAGAGGACATAATAAGAAGTGTCAGAGGGCTGGAAAAACGTAACGTGAGTGCGCGAAAGGCTAAAAAACCGCGAAGACTGCGTAATCCAAAGACGCTAAAATGGCGCGCGAGATTACGCGCAAAACAAAAAAAACGCGACGGTAACGGAAGATTCGCGAAGTTAAAAACCGAAAAGACAAACGCGGCGGAAAGTGCGAAACACGCGAGACACGCGGTACGTGAAAAATTACGGAGCGCAAAACGTACGACGCACTCGGTACGTGCGGAAATTCGGAGCGCGACACATGTGCGACCGGTGGCACGCGCGGAATTCCGGAGCGCGCGACGTAAACAAGGAGTGGGGGGGGCGCGAAAGCCTTGACCGCGACGCGCGACCGAAGAGACAAATCAGTCGTTCGCAATATCCGAAAACGTGTGGACACATTACGGAGTAAGCGAAAGACCACGAAAATTATGGAGCCCACCGCGCCAACCGAGAAGGAGAGGCGACAAGCAGTATTGCGCAAACTACGGAGCAATACCGCGTCCAAAGAACAACGTCGCCGGGCCCGAATGATTCTGGAATTAGCAGAAGAATACGTCGCGGCGTTACTAACGGACCCGTTTGCGACAAATAACGAAGCAGCGGAAGCGCAGGAGTGCCAGCAGATGCACGCACGCAGATTGCCTGCACGAGGCAATACAACACCTTGAAACCTTGAAAGGGAGGCATTACAACGCCTCCGAAGACCTGGACGTCGTGCGATCATCAAGAAATGAGGCAGTGGCCAACGCGATGGTGGCAGTGTCGACAAAATACAAGCGTAACGATGACCAGCCGGCATACCGTATTGTAATCACGGTAAACGGACGCGAAATAAAAATGAAGACGCACCTGTTGGAAGACGAAAATGCCGAAACCGGCACACCCGATCGGGACAACATCGCTAAGACGCCCAAGACCCCAGAGTATATACTGGGCGATCCACTAGAACCCACAAAATTAGCCTCACAAGTGTCCACCAATAGTATAGGCATACAGTGCGATATAATGAGGTTCGGATGCACCGAGCGAGACCCGCAGGTGTATCAAAGAACAAAATTCCGCCCGGAACGACTCAACCAATATGGTTTGGAGGAGCCGGCGCGGAAACGGGACACCGACCAAGGAACGATGTCGAAGCCAGGTCCCAGCGGGACAACGCAGGAAAAGGACCTCGTATCGGAGACAGACGACGAGGACGAAAGAGTCAACGAACAGTGGACAGAAAAAAATGTGACACATGACACGATCTCGGTGGAGAACGCAGACCTCACCGACAGTGACGAAGCCGAGGGAAGTACGGTGGACAGCGAAGATAGCGACAATACCACCAGCGAACACGACAGTCGGGTCGAAAAGTGGGTGCAAGACAAAGAAAGCATCACTTTCGCGACCCGAAAGACTGGCGAGAGACTTAAAGCAGCGCAGGCGGCCCTACAAAAAACGCGGACAGTGTTTAGAGTGGAGCATGACAAAGTACTGGCCGCACGGCGCGATAAACGACAGCAAAAAAGGTCGCAACCGTCGTCTGCGATAGTAGTCACGAGCGGGTCACCCGCGGAAGACCGCGAAGTCCCGCTGACGGGGAGTTTGCAGCCGGCGGCTGCGCCCCACAAAACAGCGGCGATCCTAGATCCGGCGGCGAAGGGCGACCTGAAACAGAAAAAAAAAGGAAAGAGGAATCAGCGGGGCGTAATAAAGGTTGGGAAATTCAGATTATCCGAAGTAATCCTTTCTCGGTTTGTTGGGTAAAAATCGAGTGGCGACCGTGTCGGAGACACATCTTTTGATCATAAGGGGGGTATCACTCATCGGCCCGGTTACACCCTATCTACTATCTAGCGAAACCACTGCCAAGGGAACGGGCTTGGAAAAATTAGCTTGGAAAAATTAGTTGATCTCGGGATCAACCAGGAGTGGGCCACCCTATACAGGGGCGAGCCCGACACGGCGCTACCGCCGCCACTAGCCGGATCGATCCAGCCGAGGACCGTGCCACAGGTCGGCACGGTCGTCCAACGGTCCGACGCCTCCAACCGGACCAAACAAGCCTGGCTGCTGGCCACGCCGCCGCCGCCACCACGACGACCCCAACCGCTAACCGAGGCCCCCCGACGCCTACGACCAACCCTGCAGCCGGCGAGGGTAATGGGACTGTTGCCACCACCGCCGATCCCGGTCCAGGTCGAGCCCGGAGTAATAGTGGACGTGCCCCACTTCGCCTGCCACGTCGCCCGGCAGTACAAGCCCACACTCGGGAATCGACGATGGCACATCCGCTTCAACGGGGATGGCTCAGTACAGTGGGTTAAGGAGAAATCGCGGCGAAGACCAACCTGAGGCCACCTGACCACCCAACCGACTCCCCCGACCAGCCGAGGGAGGTGACAAGCGAGATGCCTCTAGGTCAGGCATTTTCAAGAGGAAGGGTGGTGTAACGATGCTCCCCGTTCGTTAAGCATCGTTCCCGGCCAGCAACCGCCGGATGCCGCCCGACCGACGATCAGTCGGGCGAGGACCAGGGCCCGGTGCGCCCATATTTTTAATACGTTCAAACGCACCGTGTGCGCGGGCCAAGCGCGGCACCGGTGTTTCCCGACGAACGCCGACGGGAGCCGAGCCTCACCGGAGACAAGCGCGCGGCGTCGCGCTGCCCCACTACAGCACGATTCAGGACTTGTGCAGCAAATTCTGAGGAACAATAGATCTCGCAGAAAATATGTCTGTTAAGTTAGCACTCCTCCCACAAAAAACCGGAATAACACATATGCAGAAATTAAGTGCTCTTTATGTGCTAATTGTGTGTTCTATTAACGATTTTTGTGCTTGAGCAGTTTCATGGGAAATCGCTTATATCAAGCCAGCATCCCCACTCATTAAAATTACATTTAAAATAAAAAACTCAATATACTAGAATTATGTGCTTTCAAGTGCCTTGAATAAAATTAGTCTATCTGTAATAGTTTAAAAGATATACACAAAAAAAACTATATACTACTGATATAAGAGTAAAGTATCAGTTAAAATACAGAAAGCGAAATAATTCTTGTCTTAAAATGTTTCTTGATTAATGTGTTCCCGAAATATACACAATGAGATTTCCATGCTCATCTCCTTCGGCTGACCCAAATATAAGCATCCCATACGTACAAGAGTAAAGTACCAGTTAGAATACAGATAGCAAATTGGTTTTTGTCTTAAAATGTTCCTCCATTCATGT